GAAGGAAGGAAGGAAGGAAGGAAGGAAGGAAGGAAGGAAGGAAGGAAGGAAGGAAGGAAGGAAGGAAGGAAGGAAGGAAGGAAGGAAGGAAGGAACCTTTCCTGAGCTCCATTTACTGCTTCATCTTCCCGAGGGACCTGATCCCTGCAGTTTGCCTGGATCAGGATTCAGGCTCCTCTTTGCATCTATTCCCAGAAACGGGAGCCCTGCAAGGATGAAGATCTGTCTGCAGGAGGAGATGCCACATCCGGAGCCTGGCACGGAAATTCCGTCCTCCTGAGAAGCCCAAGTGTCCCGGCCGGCCAGCAGCCCTGTCCCCTGCACGACGCCCATGGGGGCTGCTGCAGCAGGTGATACGAGACACTAGAGAAGCAGCTTTGGAAGATGCTAGAGAAGAAGATAGCAGACCCTAGAGAACCAGGAGGAGCAGGAAGGCGCCTTGGCAAAGCCATGGAATGGGAGCATCCGCCCTGAGCAAGCACCACGGCAGTGCCCAGGTGTCCCGGAGCGCAGCTACCTGCGGCTGGGGTGGAAAAGCGCGGGGCGCATTTCCATGTCGGGGTGCCCTGGGCAAAGCAGGGCCGGCTCGGATGGGAGCCGGATCCTGCCGGGATCATCAGCCAGGGCCGCTTGCTGCCCGCCCCGTGGGACAGGGTGCCATGGCGTGGTGCCATGGGTGCCACAGAAGGGAACAGCCCAGTTCAAATGAATACTCCTCACAGGGCACCCAAGTAACCCGCCTGGTCGTTACAGAGCCAGGAACTGCATCCGCCGGGATGCGCTCCCATGCTCCTCGCCACGACTTGTCCCTCCTGCAGGAATGACTGGAAACGGCTCATTATATTAGACTTAATTAAGGCTGCACATAGCCCTTCCAAGGCTCAGCAAGTGCTTCCTCGAGCAGCCCGTTTTACCAGGACCTGAATTGTCTCTCAGGTGGGTTTGGACACAAGAATTAGCAGCACTGACATCGGAGCCTTCAAAAAGAACCCAAAAGTTCTTCAAGGGAAGAACAAGGGAAGGTCCCATCTCTTCCCTATGGTCAAACATCAGGCAGCCCTGGCAGCCAGAGAGGACAAGATTGTGAGAAAACCAAAACCTTGCGTGAAAACGCTAGGAATAAATACAGGGAAAGTCTGTCTTGCCTGGGATTCTCCAGCAGGTGCTCATGAGAAGCAGGTAAAGAACAGGTAATATGAGATTTTAGGCCAGCAATGGTGGAAGATGCAGGAATTCCTTAGCCTGAAGCCACGTGTGGACCCCTGTGTTTGTCCTGGGCTGGGGACTTAGTCCCTGAGCTTGTTTCCAGTCTCCTACCTGGTGACACCAAGACAGCTTTGATGGGAAAGCAAGTGGAGGCACCAGAGCCCGTGCTGAGAAACCAGCGCGTTTGCACCTTGGTTAGCAAAACAGGTCCCGTCAAGCCAGGTTTCTGTCTAACCCCATGAAAGCATCAAAAGTTCATGAGAAAAACATGAATAAGTGGGAGAGACGCCAGGAGGAACATCTCATAAAACATCGGGAGACGGGGTGGGTGGGAATGAACATGAAGGGAGCAGCCCAAAGAGCCCCGAGCTGCAGTGCCCGTCATTGGTATCAGAAGACTCAGCCCCTCGTGGGTCTGGTGTGACCTGGTGCTGCAGGGCAGGGTTGCATGAAGAGGAACAGGAGAACCCCATGACCCCTCTGCTGCAGGAGAGCCTGCAGAGACGGCGCCAGGAGCACGTGGCACGATGCCCTGCAGGGCTGCAGGCCTGGGCAGAATCACACAGGATGTTCAAGGTTGGAAGGGACCTCTACAGATCATCTAGTCCAACCTTCCCAGCAGGCACACCCAGAGCATGGGGCACAGGGCGGCATCCAGGCGGGTTTTGGAGACCTCCAGAGAAGGAGACTCCACAACCTCCCTGGGCAGCCTGTTCCACTGCTCTGTCACCCTAACAGTAAAGAAGTTCCTCCTCACCTGGAGATGGAACTGCCTGTGTTTCAACTTAGACCCATTTCCCCTTGTCCTGTCACTGGCCACCAATGAGAAGAGCTTGTCCCCTTCTTCCCTACATTCCCCCTTCATAAACTTATACATGTTAATCAGAACCCCTCTTCTCTTCTCCAAGCTGAACAGGCCCAACTCAGTCTCTCCTCATATGAGAGAGGCTCCAGTCCCTTCATCATCTTCACTGCTCTCCACTGGACCTTCTCTAGGAGCTCCACGTCCCTCGATGTGGACCATGTCCCTCAACAGGACCTGGTTCCGCTTTCTGCAGGTTCTATCAGTGCCCATTTACCTACTGGACCTCAAGCAGGGCGCAGTTTGCTCCACCTAGGAGTGTGATTGCCCTTCCATACGGAGCAGCTCCCTTTCCTCGCGCAGAAGAGACCAGGCTCATACTTACGGAGAGGAGGTCCGAAGAGCACCGTGTCCAGCGCTTTGAGCTGCAGCTTCTGCCGGTGGCTCCGGTCCGTCATCTTCAGCACAGTGCCCATCATGGTGACGTTGTTCACCGCCAACCTGCGCAGCAAGACGCACACGTCACCAGCAGAGCCACCAAGAAGGAGGAACATGGGGGGAAGGACCGAAAACCACCAGGGTACAGAGACAAAAGAAATCCCTCAAAAAATATATTGCCTCTCACACGGGCCATGGAGCTCTCTCAAGGAGATAACAAGCCAGGTCTTTGATTTAGCTGGAAATCGAGGAGAAAAAGCAGGGCAATTTTTATTAAATTAGCCCTGACAATCTCAGCTCCTGCCTTCCTAACAGCCTTCCTAACAACACTGGTCTTTTTCCTGTTGTATCAGCCTTTTATTTTATTTTATTTTATTTTATTTTATTTTATTTTATTTTATTTTATTTTATTTTATTTTTTATTTTTTCCCTTTTTCTTTTTTCTTCTTTCTTTTTTTCCCTTTTTTCCTTTTTTCTTTTTTCCTTTTTTCCCTTTTTTTCTTTTTTCCTTTTTTCTTTTTTTTTCCTTTTTTTTCCTTTTTTCCTTTTTTTTCTTTTTTTCCCCTTTTTTTCCTTTTTTTCTCTTTTTTTTTTTTTTTTCCATCATATCTATGCCATTTGCTTTCAACATTGTCTTTCAGGGACCATAAGGGTGGCAGCAAAACCGGTCTGCCCTGCTGCTCCAAGCACCTTATTTCAACCCTGCTCTCAGTTCCTCGGCCCGTTTTCAGGACAAATTCCTCTCATCCAAAAGCTGCAGCCGCCTCCTTTGAAGTCGGTTGTAAGTTTAATTTATAAGTTTAATTAAATGGCAAGTTTCACGCAAGGAACACAGGGCTAAAGGTCTTTAAAGCCTTGGTTGCTGGAGCTTCAAGCTGCCTGCATTAAGGTCCATATATTCTGGTCTATAAATCCTTTCCTCCCAATAACATCCCAGTGGGATGGGGATGAAGCCGGTCCATCCTTCCCCCCCACCAACATCCCAGCAGGATGGGGATGAAGCCAGGACGTCCTTCCCTCCCACCAACATCCCAGCAGAATAGGGATGAAGCTGAGGTGTCCTTCCCTCCCACTGACATCCCAGTGGGATGGGGATGAAGCCAGGGTGTCCTTCGCTGCCACTGATATCCCAGTGGGACGGGAGCAAAGCTGGGGCATCCTTCTCTCCCACCGACATCCCAGCAGGATGGGGATGAAGCTGGTCCATCCTTTCCCCCCACCAACATCCCAGTGGGATGGGGATGAAGCCGGGGTGTCCTTCCCTCCCACTGACATCCCAGCAGGATGGGGGTGAAGCTGCAACGTCCTTCCCTCCCATTGATGTCCCCGTGGGATGGGGATGAAGCTGATCCATCCTTCCCCACCACCAACATCCCAGTGGGATGGCAGCAAAACTGGGGCATCCTTCCCCACCAATGACATCCCAGTGGGATGGGGATGAAGTCGCGGTGTCCTTCCCTTCCCACCGATATCCCAGCGGGATGGGGATGAAGCTGGGGTGTCCTTCCCTTCCCCCCGACATCCCTGTGGGATGGGGGTGAAGCCAGGGTGTCCTTCCCTCCCACTGATACCCCAGTGGGATGGGGATGAAGCCAGGACGTCCTTCCCTCCCACCAACATCCCAGCAGGATGGGGATGAAGCCGGGCGTCCTCCCTTCCCACTGATATCCCAGCAGGATGGGGATGAAGCCGGGGTGTCCTTCCCTTCCCCCGACATCCCAGTGGGATGGGGATGAAGCCGGGACGTCCTTCCCTCCCACCAACATCCCAGTGGGATGGGAGCAAAGCTGGGGCATCCTTCCATTGACATCCCAGCGGGATGGGGATGAAACTGGAAACTGGAACATCCTTCCCCCCCACCAACATCCCAGCGGGATGGGGATGAAGCCGGGGTGTCCTTCCCTCCCACCCACATCCTGGCGGGATGGGGATAAAGCCAGGGTGTCCTCCCTTCCCACTGATATCCCAGTGGGATGGGGATGAAGCTGCTCCATCCTTCCCCCCCACCAACATCTCAGCAGGATGGGGATGAAGCCGGGGTGTCCCTCCCTTCCCCTCGGTATCCGAAGGGGCCGGGGCGGGAGCCGGGGCGGCGCGGCGGGCGCTCACCGGGGCATGGCGTGCCCGCTGAGCTGCAGCCGGCGGAAGGTCTCCTCGTACTGCGGCAGCTCCACGTAGCCGATGAGCCACTGCACCACCTCGTCCACGGTCCAGTTGTACACTGCGGGAGCAGGGGGGCACCTGAGCGCGGGCACCGCTGCCCGGGCACCGCCGCCCGGGCGCCGGGCCCGTACGGACCCCTATAGACCTAACTATATGGAGCGCCCGTATAGACCCAACCCGCTGCACTGGTCAGCTGCTTTGCAGGGTTGTTTCTGCAGCCTGGTTGCTGCAGGAGGGGCAGCAGAGGGGCAGGAGCGGGGCAGGAGTGGGGCAGAGCGGTCCTGGCAAAGGGCTGTGGCCATGGGATGTGCAGGGGACATGGGGACAAGGTGGCCAGGGCAGCTCCTAATGGGGTAGCTCCCACTGGGGCAGCTCCCAATGGGGCAGCTCCTAATGGGGCAGTTCCCAATGGGGCAGCTCCTAATGGGGTAGCTCCCACCGGGGCAGCTCCCAATGGGGCAGCTCTCAATGGGGCAGCTCCTAATGGGGCAGCTCTCAACAGGGCAGCTCTCACCGGGGCAGCTTCTGCTGGGGCAGCTCCCAATGGGGCAGTTCCCAATGGGGCAGCTCCCAATGGGGCAGCTCCTAATGGGGCAGCTCCCAATGGGGCAGCTCCCAATGGGGCAGCTCCCAAGGGGGCAGTTCCCGCCAAGGCAGCTCCTAATAGGGCAGCTCCTAATGGGGCAGTTCTCAGTGGGGCAGCTCCCAATGGGGCAGGTCCCACCGGGGCAGCTCCCAATGGGGCAGCCCACAACAGGGCAGCTCCCAATGGGGCAGCTCCAAATGGGGCTGGGGGAAGCAGGGGAGTCCTCCCCACAACTGCCTGGACAATCCGGGGCGTTCTGCAGCACTCAGGGACACGAATGGCCCATCTGGGTGCCTTGAGGGCCATCACCGCCAGGATGCATGGATGAAGCTCCATAGCTCCGGTTGGTCGATGGAGCTCGTGGGAAGGAAGCCTGGGCTCGGTGCCCGGCTGGGTCACCCTACGGGGCCCACGTCAGAGAAGCAGGCAGCGACGTGTTTCAGAGGACACGTGGTTTGGGTTATTTTGCTGTAAATTATCTCGTTCTGAGCTCTCTCCTCGGTCGAGTTCTCGTGGCAAGCTCCACCCTGCAGCAAGTTCAGAGCTCTCCGCTCCATAACACTCGTGGTCACCACGACCTGTCATCTTCCTCACCCGGGATCCATGGATCTCCTGAAGGGTTTCCAAAGGCGGCTGGACAACAGGTCCACCCAGGTCCCTGGCCCAGAGGGTCCCTGGCCCTGACTGAACTCCAAGGGGACATGGGAATTTCTTTGGGAATTTCTTCGGGAACTTCTTGAGCACCAGCAATGAGTCACTGCCCGGGTATGAAGGCCACCTCCCAGCTTGCTCCAAGGAGTCCAGGGTTTCCCATGGAAAGAGGGCAGGAAGGTGTTGGCTGTTCCATATGGAGACGAGAGATGGGTGAAAGGGAGCAAGACTTAAGAAGAGGGGGATCTTCGTGGAAGTTCCAGGATGACCCGCAGCCCGCGGCAGCAAACGGCACAAGCTGAGGAACGTTCCCTACAATTCCAGGCCTATGGACACTCTCCGGAGCCGGGAGGGCTGAGTGCAGTAGGGAGCAGGCGTTGCCTCCGGACACCCGCACGCTGGAGACGCTGGTGTCCCCTGCTCCCAGAGCGGGACAGGGCCCGGAGCAGCAGGTGGGCACAAGCTGGACATGGGCTGGAATGTCAGGAGGAGCCTCCACAGCATCGGGCGCTCAGGGCGCAGCCGCCCGGCCTGCCCATGGCACCCAGGGGTGCCCATGTGGTGCCCATGTCATACCCATGTGGTATCCATGTGTTGTCCATGGCCTGTAGGCTGCCCAGGTGGTGCCCATGTGGTGCCCATGTCATACCCATGTGGTGCCTGTGTGTTGCCCATGTCATACCCATGTGGTGCCCGTGTGTTGTCCATGGCCTGTAGGCTGCCCATGTGGTGCCCATGTCATACCCATGTGCTGCCCGTGTGTTGTCCATGTCCTGCAGGCTGCCTGTATGGTGCCCATGTGGTGCCCATGTCGTGCAGGCTTCGCAATCCTGACTTGTTGGTGACTCCCAGCGCTTTGGGAAGCCACTTTGGGCACCCACATAAAGGGGGCCAGCCTTTCCCACGCGCCGCATCCCGACCAACTAAACCCAGCTCAACCAAGACGGGACCCCGCGGGACCAGCCACTACGAAGTCCTGTGGTCCTTCTGGAGCCAAACACGGAGAAAGAGGGAGAGAAAAGCAAAGCGCCCGTTAATCCCGAGGGCGCTCGGGTCGGTAACTCCGGGATCGTGAGGATCGGAAGCACCTCGTGCCACAGAGCGACCCAGCGCTGCGAGACGATCCAAAAACCAGCGCCTAAGGCAGATACATCAGGCACAAGAGACCACGGGTGAGAAACGGGGAGCTTCCGAGAAAAACCAAGACCTCTCAAAGCAGAAAATTCCATGTTCTGCTCAGAGGCACCAACGCCCCCGGCCTTTCCCTGGCCCCGTGGATGGGTGGTGGGATACGGGGAACACCCCGCGCCACCCAGCGTGGGCACCCACACATGGGCAGCGCCGCACTGGGTGCCCACAGGCTCCTTCAGAGAGTTGGGAATTTCGGGAAGTATCAAGACCGAAGGGACCAAACCTCTCCCTGCTCCCTAGGCGAGCAGAATGACGCCACTTAAAAGCTGACAGCTTATTTCTTCAGTGAACGGCTCCACTTCCAGCTCCGGGCCTCGATTTGTCTTCTTTTCACCAGATTTGCGGTAGCCAAGGTTCTGAAAACTGTAATTTTCCAAAGCTCGAGTATTTAAGATGTTCTTATTCCATAAAAACACCCGGTGGGACGAGCGGTTTAAGGGGGAAGCTGGACGAGGGCAGCTTTATTGCAGCACACAGTGAGAGGGGCACAGTGCTGAACACCTCCAGCCTTGCTGGCACATCTTGGTTTATATTCCTAGTTTGGCTTAAATTCCTAGTTTGGCTTAAATTCCTAGTTTGGTTTATATTCCTAGGTGCCTGAATGAGCAGTTGGAACAACAAGAGCAACACAATGTAAAGGGGAGCGGGAAGAAACACCCGCCAATGGCAGCGAGGGCAGAGCAGGAAGGCTCCTCCCGGCAAGATGCTCAAATCCGGATTATTTCCCAAATCAGAGCAAGCCGCAGGGCAGGAGGTGCACGGAAGGGTGCAGGGAGGCTGTGGTTTAGCTCGCTTGGCTTTTTGATGGGTTAGGCTCTTACCTTCCGACATCTTCCAGGCTTTCCAAAGATCCTCCACGCTAATGAGCTTGTCCTCACCGTGGAAAGTGCTGTGCTTCACCGTGGGGTCGTGGTAATTCAAGTCCTCCCTCAGGAACTGGGAGAAGAAGGAAGAGGGGGATTATTGTTTGGGTTCAGCTTTGGATTCAGCGTTCACCCGTCGTCTTTCACACTTTAAGTCAGTAACAGCCCGAGCTGAAGCAGCAGCCGAGCTGAGCCGGTGCTCGGCCCCTCTCCAGGTGGGTTGTCCCACCAAACAGCAGCGGTTGCTCCAACCAGGAGCTCACTTCCACTTGGAGTGACCTTTGGGCATCATCCCAGGAAACCGGTTGCTCCAGCAGGGCCACGAGAGCGTCCAAGAGCGGGTGCTGGCGCCCCCCGAACACCCGGGAAGGGCTCGGGATACAGCGCACGGAGCGGGAAGCGCCGCACGGGGAGGAGGGAGAGCAGCGCCGGGCAGATCCGGAGGGGAGAGCGCCCTTCCAAGCATCGTCCTGGTGGGAATATTGTGCGTTCCCCCAGGGAACGAGTAGCACGGGGGCTGCCATGGCAGCTGGGGTGAGCTGAGGGAYGGTGCCGCATTCTGCCTTGGCCCCGAGGGAGATGTGGGGAGGAACAACCCCAGACACCAGGACGGGCTGGGGACCGACCCTGTGCAGAGAGGGACCTGGCGTCCGGGTGCGTGACAAGGTGACCGTGAGGCAGCAGGGCCCCCGTGGCCAAGGAGGCCAATGGGTCCTGGTGCATCAAGAAGAGCATCTCCAGAAGGTCCATGGAGGGGATCGTGCCCCTCTGCTTGGTCCTAGGGAGGCCACGTCCGGAGCCCGTGTCCAGCTCGGGGCTCCCAGCACAGCAGGGATGTGGAGCTGCTGGGGAGAGGCCAGCGCAGGGAATGAGGATGATGAAGGGCCGGGAGCATCTGCCCTGGGAGCGAAGGCTGCGAGAGCTGGGGCTGCTCGGCCTGAGGAAGAGGAGGCTGAGGGGGCACCTGGGCAGTGTCCATAGACACCTCAAGGGAGGAGCGAGGAGGATGGGGCGGCCTCTTTGCACTGGTGGCCACTGATGGAACTGGAGGAACCAGCCACAGACGGGAGCCCCAAAAGTTCCCCGGGAACTTCAGGAGAAATCCCTGGCGGTGACGGTGGCCGAGCCCTGGCCCAGGCTGCCCAGGGAGGCTCCTGCTCTGGAGACCTTCCCAACGTGCCTGGACGCAGCCGCTGCCACCTGCTCCGGGTGTCCCTGCGTGTGCAGGGGGTTGGACGGGATGGTCTCCAAAGAGAGACCATCCAAAGGGGCTCCAAAGTCCTCCAAAGTCGAGGACGATCCCTAGAGGTCCCTTCCAACCTCAACCATCCTGGACGCATCTGGTGCCACCTGCTCCGGGTGTCCCTGCGTGTGCAGGGGGTTGCCCTGGGTGCTCTCCAAAGGTCCCTTCCAGCCTTAAGGATTCTGTGATCCTGCTGGGGATGGAGGAAGCAGCAAAACTGAGGCCCTTTGGCTCTCAGCAGATCATTCCCCCAGGCTGCCCTGTTTTCACTCCCAACACGGGGCTTTTCTCATATCAAGTTTGATCTCCCGCCCAGGCAGAATTCCCTGTCCTGGAGAGCCTAACGACCGTGCATCCAATGCACCTGAAGCCACCACTGAAGCAATAAGTAGCTTGAACCCACCAATGAAGCAACAAAGAGCTTCCTCCTTTGCATTAGTCACTATTTGCATTAGTCACTATTGACCCTTATGTAAGAAAGCAGCTTCTTTTGTGAATAATTTTATGTCTCTCTAATGCAGTTACCAGGCAAAATCTGGAGGCCGAGACATCAGCGACCATCTCCTTTCCCTGCAGCAGGTAAAAGGTGGTGCAGCTTTTCCAGCTGGACAATAATTGGTGATAAATCCCTGAAGATGAAGGGCCAAGAGGCAGTGAATGAGCTTGGCGGCACCGCTGGGGAGGCTCGGGCGGAGGCCCGTGTGCTGGCGAGGCCGGGATTAAAACCAGAACGGAATGAAGTGACAACAACGGCCACTCATGGGGTAGGATAAATTGATAAACTGGGTGTGTAAAAAAGGATGGGAACTGTGGGATAAATTGATAAACTCGGTGTGTAAAAAGGGATGGGAACTGTGGGATAAATTGATAAACTTGGTGTGTAAAAAAGGATGGGAACTGTGGGATAAATTGATAAACTTGGTGTGTAAAAAGGGATGGGAACTGTTGGATAAATTGATAAACTTGGTGTGTAAAAAGGGATGGGAACTGTGGGATAAATTGATAAACTGGGTGTGTAAAAAAGGATGGGGACGGTTGGATAGAAACCCAACGGCTGGATAGAAACCCAACGGTTGGATAGAAACCCAACAGAATGTGGAAACAGTCACGGTCTAAACCTGGGGCCAGGCAGAGCGTTGCTTTCTTGGCTGGAGAACAGGGAGCCAAGGGCAAGGCTGCAAAGAGCCCAACTTCAGGCGGCACCGTCGCACCACCGGTACCCGCAGCGACCGGGGTGCCGAGGTGGGATACGATGGGAGAGGGCGGCGGGCACTGACCTCGTCGCTCTCCTCCACGTCCACGTTGCCGTTGGCGTCGTCGTCCATCTGCTTGTGGATGTTGCGCACGGCCTCGAAGCTGAGCTGCTCGTCCTCGTCGTGGCACAGGGGCTGGTCGATGCGGCAGAACTCTGCGCGGGAGAGAGCGGCGGCGTTAGGCGCCCCACGGATCCCCCTCAGCGAGGGCACCCGAGGGCGCACGGGGAAGGGGTCTCGGGGTCTCCTTTGGGAACCAAAGGCAGGGGGGACCATCGGCCCTGTGTGCAGCTCGGGGCTCCCCAGGACAAGGGGGACGTGGAGCTGCTGGAGAGGGGCCAGCGCAGAGCGAGGAAGATGAGGAAGGGGCTGGAACATCTCTCGTGTGAGACTGAGTTAGTTGGGGCTGTTGAGGCTGGAGAAGAGGAGGCCGAGAGGGGACCTGGTCAGTGTGTGCAAGCACCCGAGGGGAGGATGGAGGCAGGAAGGGGCCAAGCTCTTGTGGGTGGTGGCCAGGGGCAGGCCAAGGGGCAGTGGGTGCAGGTTGGAGGCCGGGCAGCTCCATGTGGCCGTGGGGAAGAACTTGTTTGGTGGGAGGGTGCCCGAGCCCTGGTTGAGGCTGCCCAGGGAGGCTGCGGAGGCTCCTGCTCTGGAGACCTTCCCACTGCGCCGGGATGGAGCGGGTGCCCCGTGCTCTGGGTGTCCCTGCTGGAGCAGGGGCTGGATGATCCCTAGGGATCCCTGCCACCCTCAGCCCTTCTGTGACTCCGTGCTCTGGGTGTCCCTGCTGGAGCAGGGGCTGGATGATCCCTAGGGATCCCTGCCACCCTCAGCCCTTCTGTGACTCCGTGCTCTGGGTGTCCCTGCTGGAGCAGGGGCTGGATGATCCCTAGGGATCCCTGCCACCCTCAGCCCTTCTGTGACTCCGTGATTGAGGTGACTGCCCTGGAGCCACCTCGTAGGTCCTCCCAGACGCCAGCCTTGCCTTTGAGGGCACAAAGAGCCACAGCACAACACAGGAGCGGGCCCCACATCCCGCCCATGGGGCAGCTCTTCCCACCACGCAGCTCTCAGCGGAAACCCGCCTTGGGATGGAGCCGCTTCCACGAGCGGGAATCCTGGGAGCAGCCTGGGGCCCATCCGGCCACGCTGACATCCGTGAAAAACGGGATTTCAGCCGCAGCGGATCAAAGCAGATGATCACAACGGACCGTTTCCTTCTCTGAAGACCTTCCCAACACTCCTGGATGCCACCCCAGGCTCTGGGTGGCCCTGCTGGAGCAGGGGGTTGGACTGGATGATCTCTAGAGGTCCCTTCCAACCTCAACCATCCTGGAATTCCGTGATTCCTCGCAAGGCGCCTGGGAAAGCGCCACACGTGAGGGCGGGTCAGGAATAGGAACATTCCCCATTAAGGGCAGAGGACGAGGGCGCCGTGGGCAGCCGCACCCCAGGACGATCCCCCCTTTCTGCACGATCCCACCTTTCCGCACGCTCCCCGAGGAACTGCAGTTTGCTGAGGGCAGCACCAGCTTTCCTGCCAAGCTCCCACCCTTTCCCAGGTGCGGGAGATTTCCTCGGGATGTTTTTTGTGGAAGTTCTCAGGCTTTCGCTGGCGTCCCTGGACGCCTGCCCGGGATCTGCAGAGCGGATCTGGGTTTCTCCTACCTGCAAGAACTTGCTCCTTGGGCCGGCAGTGAAGCGGGTGCCTGCTCCTACACTGGTCTTAAGAGGTTTATTCCCGGTTTTTGGGGACACTTCCAGCCTGCTGCTGCCCTCCAGCTTCGCTCTGGATGGGGATGCGGCTACACACGCCCTGTGTCACCGTCCCGCGCGCCCTGTGTCACCATCCCGCTCGGGACCGGCGCTCCGGCTCCGGCAGCAGCTCCAGGAGCGGGTGGCAGCTCCGGGATTGCTTCACAACAACAGGGATTTCGGCCGCCCTCTGTTCTGGGGCCAAAGCTCCGGCACCAAGGGCTCCTCCAGCACTTAGGGAGCAGCCCCCAGGCCGACGAATGTCCCGATCGGTGTCCCGATCCTGGGTGTCAGGATGGGTGTCACGAGCCCCGAGGCTGTCACTGTCCCCAGCCCATCCCGGTGAGTCAGAGGCTCCTTTTGTCTCTCCCGATGGGCCTCTAACGGCTCCAATCCCGTTATCTTCCCTTATCACCTCCACGCCCGGCCTCCCCACGGCTTCCTCACCTCAGGAATGTGGCTCCCCACACTCCATTGTCCCCAGGAGGAATGTGGCTCCCCACACTCCATTGTCACCTGGTGAATGTGCCTCCCAACACTCCATTGTCACCCTGAGGGCTGGCTGATGTGCCGGCTATCAGCACCCATCCCCGGGCAGGGCCATTGTCCCCAGGCAGGGCCATTGTCCCCAGGCAGGGCCATTGTCCCCAAGCAGGGGCATGGCCACTCATCCCACACAAGGCCCCTTCCCAAGGCCTGCGGCACTGTTGGGTCCGGGAGCCTCCCGGAACACAGGGTGGCGGGGACATGGGGTGATGGAGACACAGGGTGACGGGGACACGGCGTGGCAGGGAACACAGGGTGATGGAGACATGGGGTGGTGGGGACACGGGGTGACAGGGACACAGGGTGGTGAGGAACACAGGGTGATGGAGACATAAGGTGGTGGGGACACAGGGTGACGGGGACACGGCATGGCAGGGACATGGGGTGACAGGGACACGGTGTGGCAGGGACACAGGGTGGTGGGGACACGGGGTGACAGGGACACGGCGTGCTGGGGACACAGGGTGATGGAGACATAGGGTGGTGGGGACACAGGGTGACAAGGACACGGGGTGAGAGGGACACAAGGTGGTAGGGACACGGGGTGATGGAGACATGGGGTGGCGGGGACACGGGGTGATGGGGACACAGGGTGACGGGGACACGGGGTGACAGGGACACAGGGCGGTATGGACATGGGGTGATGGGGACACGGGGTGACAGCAGCCCTCCTGGGCGGGGACACTCTGGCGCTCACGGTTCCTCCCCTTAACCCCCTCTTTTCAGCAGACCATCACACCTCGATATACTAAAGAAACGAGCAAACAAAATAAACTGATAGTTTCCCTTACGGAACACTCATCAATGTTATCAGGCCAATAATATATAACACATAACACATAATATATATAATATATAATATATAATATATAATATATAATATATAATATATAATATATAATATTATATATATAATATATAATATATAATATATAATATATAATATATAATATATAATATATAATATATAATATATAATGTATAATATATAATATATAATATATAATATATAATATATATATTATATATTATATATTATATAATATATATTATATATAATGTATAATACTTATACTCAATACTTAATACTTAATATATTATATATACGTAATATGTATTATACATACGTAGTATAATATATAATACATAATACATAATACATAATGCATAATACATAATATATAATATGTAATATGTAATATGTGATATATGATATATGATATATGATATATGATATATGATATATGATACATAGTAGTATAGTAATTACATATAATAATATATAACATATATGGTATGTAGGATATAGTATATATTATATATGATGTATGACTATGATATATTACATTTTATAGATACATATATATGTGTGTGTGTATATACATATACACACATATATTTACATATACATATATATATATACATATACACACACATATATATATACACACACGTAACGCGGCCCCGTTGCTTTCCCAGACGAGGTCACTGCGGAGTGGAGGCCGGGTCCTCCCCCGGTGCACAACTGGAGGCCGGGAGGCTCCGTGCACCTAAAATAACCCTGGGCTCCTTGTGCAGCAGCCTCCAGCCGTGGAGGCCGCGGAGGCCGATGGGGGAGAGCCCCGAGCGCCCCGGGAGCCCCGGAGCTGCCCCGGCCTCGAGCAGAGGCTGCACCGGGGGCCTCCCGAGCTCCCTTCCGACCCGTGTTTTCTCATAATCCAGGGTTTATCTGGCAAAGAATCTGCGGTAACCGCCTCAACCAGCCTCTATCCCTGCTCCCGAAGTACAAACTGCATATCAATATTCCCATCCCAGTGGGAATATTCCCCTCCGCCTTCCGAGGCCGGCAGCGCGCTCAGCTCCCAAGACTCGCTCGGGGTGTTTGTTAAAACCAGACTAAGGAGGCGCGTGCTGTCCAGCCAGACACGGCTGCCGAGGACGGAACCTGCGGTCCTCAACTGTGGAGAAGGGACACAGAGCCTGACCCGGCATCGAGACCTCGAACCCAGGCAGGTGCCAGGGATTCCTAGGGATCTCCCAGCCCATCCCTTGCTCCACAGGGACACCCAGAGCACGGGGCACCCACAGAATCGTTGGGGTTGGAATGGATCCCTAGGGATCATCCCGTCCAGCAGGGACACCCGGAGCACGGGGCACCCGCTCCAGCCCGGCGCGGTGGGAAGGTCTCCAGAACAGGAGCCTCCGCAGCCTCCCTGGGCAGCCTCAAGCAGGGCTCGGGCACCCTCCCACCAAACAAGTTCTTCCCCACGGCCACATGGAGCTGCCCGGCCTCCAACCTGCACCCACTGCCCCTTGKCCTGCCCCTGGCCACCACCCACAAGAGCTTGGCCCCTTCCTGCCTCCATCCTCCCCTCGGCTGCTTGCACACACTGACCAGGTCCCCTCTCGGCCTCCTCTTCTCCRGCCTCAACAGGCCCCGCTCGCTCGGGCTCTCCTCACACGGGAGCTGCTCCAGGCCCTTCCTCACCTTGGTTGCCCTCAGTGGAGGCCAACACGGGTTTGGGCCCCACCACCCCGCTCCCCATCGCTGCTATTCGGGGGATGGCGCCGCTCCAGCCGTGGGGCTCCCCACGCTTCCAGGACCCCCTTTGCGGGTCCCCGGCAGCGGGAGCACCAGCTCCGCATGGAGAAGAGGTTCCCATCTACCATCCACACGCGTGGATGTTGTGACAGGAGCGCTGGAGCTCGGGGTGCTGCCCACGGCCACCGCCCGATGCACCCCAACCTCAACGGGCGACGGGGAGCACCGAAATCCCACTGCTCGTTCCCGCCCGGCCTCGCTGGGAAATCATCCGGATCCGTTCCCAGAATCATGGAATATTCAAGGTTGGAA